TTTTACGACAACTGTCTTGTTGACGGCGTCTTTTATTCGTTCCACTGGGGTTTAGCAGGTGTGTTTATAAAGAGACGAAAATTGTTTGGGGACTATCCCCCACGTTCTAGTTGAGATGGTATAACCCAAGAGGCAAAATGACGCTTGCTACTGTTGTTGCGAGTTGCCATTCGTTCTACTAAACCATTAGTCAAACGCCATCATGCCTTCTGTCGTTATTACACAAACAAAAATCTCTTTACTGTTACTAGTGTTAGTGCCTCAATATGGCTACGCTCGTGAAAGCAATACAACGAACTCAAACGCGTCTTCGTTCAATGTTGTCAACTAATATCCGGATTATGCAAATTTTCCTCAATTCTCCGGAGAAATTTTCATAAAAATTTGAAAAACCCGGAATTCCGGGAAAATCCGGAGGACTTTCATCTCTGATCTTGACTGAATGATAAAAATACGCAGGTATTTGTGTGGGAACAGAAATAGGAGGATGGTCAAAACTTTTGCACTGAGAGTAAATCTTCTGTTGGTTAAACCTGTGCTTCTTGTTTTTAGGTATAGCAGTGTACATGGGTCAGAGACACCCCACAATCTTCATTGAAATAGCTTGAAACTGATTCAAGCATAAAAACAGAACTAAGGGAAATCAGGCACACTATCTCAAGGCTTAGGTCCAACAGAATTGTTCTTAAAAAAAAAACAACAACCTAATGAAACTTGGCCTGGACACAATTGATTCCGCCCTCAACTGAAATTTGGTTTTACAATCTTTTGAGGCATTCACTGGCATTTAATGATTTCTGCAACTCAGAGTTGTGCACCTGTTGACAATTAGTGGCATTTGAGCTCAAATCCTCATGAGAAGCTGCAACCCCAGAACCCAGTAAAGTGGTACCTCAACTTATGAAATGAATTGGTTCCGGAAGAAACTTCTTCACGAGAAAATTTCGTATGTAGAGCCGCGTTTTCCATGTAAATGCCCTAATCCATTTCAAGCCCCCCAAAATTCAAACACAAATGTTTTCTAAAGCATAAAAATGCATCAAAATATGAAACAAATACATGTTACAATTAGATTATTGCACAATAAATAAAAGTTGTGCATAATGTAAAAAACAAAGAATAAAGAATGAAAATGATGGTCATTTAACTTAACTGCGTCCTCATCGGGGTTTTTTGCCCTCTTCAGTTCATGTTCTCTCTCAGAAGTGGTTTTTGCCTGGCGTTTTGTAAAGAACTGATCCAAGGACGTTTGCTTTTGTCAGCTTTTAACAATCCTTCAAAAATGTCCAAGGCAAACATCAGCAGAGTGAGTGATCGCCCGACTGGTGAACACTTTTTCTGGGTGATTCACATTTATGTAAAACTATTGGAACGCTTCCTGGCCCGAGGGGCGAATTACAAGGACGCTGCATAAACACATATCGATCTATCTACACACACATAGACAAATATGGTAGACGTTCCTCTTAGCCAATAGGATGCCAGGATAATACTCAGTAATAGCCAATGGCAGGGCAGCTATAAGTATCAAGTATCAAGTACAACTTTATTGTCAAATGTGCTGTATATGGAACATACATTAATATTAAATTAATGTATGTGGAACATACAGCACAGATGAAATTTCCTCCCTGTTAAACAGACAAGAGGAGCCATAAGTATTTGCGTTCAGGAAACTCGGAGCTGCGAGTCGCAACTCATACTGTATTTTTACCTTTTGTATCTTGAAAATTCTTTCGTAACAAGCGGCAATATTTTCCTTTTGAGGTGGTTCGTAACTTGAAAATTTCCACTGTATTTGTGTTTGGCAAGGTACCTGCAGCATGATCCACATACACAGATTTGCACACCAGTTGACAAGTTTGATTCAGTGACCACGGAGGAACAAAACTAACAAAAAAAAGGAAAAAGAAAAAAAGAAAAATGTTTGTGGAGGCTCACATATGCTTCACAGTTGTTTTTTTTTTTATTTGGGGCTCAAAATGCATTTACTTAATGTATACAGAATATGTATTTAATGTTACTTCCATAGATCTGGCAGTTGAATAAACAGTAGCCACTCATCAATCTATGGAGTAACAATACCATGTTTCAGTGCACTCAACTTCTTTCTAATGTTTATTAAATTAATATGAATGATTATTAACTTATTATTTATCTGACTTCTTCACTGATATGTTCAATACCCTTCATGTTCTGTAAGCTGCCCCTCTCGTGAACAAACCTCAGATAAGCAGAATATAATGAATGGATGGATCATTATGCAGTGGTGTGGGGAAAATCTTGAGGTAAAGATTAATGAAATCTATTTTGGAATAAGGCTTTCACAGGACAAAATCTGGAAAAAGTGAACCACTGTAATTACTTTTGGGATGGGCTATACATCCAGACACAGCAACAAATCTTTCTAGAAGTGAATGGGTCAAGTATCATCTTAAATGAATAACATGCATAGTTTTCTCAATAACTATTATACATGTTTTGTTAAGCGCTTTGTTACAGCTGCTGCTGTTGTGAAAGCGCTATATGAATCAAGATGTATTGTATTGTATGAATACTACTACTGACCATCGAAAAGCAACATGGTTTCCAACGGACCCTGTGCTAATCTTCCATACTTAGTTTGGTTAGGAAACTCCTCATGTTCTCGTTTAGGATTTCATTTCCAGACAAAAATGTTCACACTCACCAATAGAGACTTCTTTGATGAGTTCTGCAGCTGAATGTGCACCTTGTACTAGGGCTCTTGTCCATGAAGACAGATCCCAGTGGGTCTCCACGCGAAAGATGTGTGATTCAATGCCTCGCCCTGTGCCAGTCCGAGTAGCAAAGACCAGGTCAGAACTCTGGGGAGGAGTGCCGCGGACACTGCCAGAACGCACCAGTCTGAATGGAGAGATACAAATAAAACCTGTCAGTTCTTTTCAGACAAATAGCACCAATACTCCACTGTACTGGAAGAGTTTAACTGTTGTTTTTATGAGGGATTCCTGATCGACAACAATGGACCAGTTGTTAGTGCTGCTGCCTCAAACCAAGAAAACTCTTGGTTTTAATCTGTTGGACTGGTATTTTCATATGGAGTTTGCCTTCCACATCGTGACGATTTTTATTCACTGTAAATAGTCGGAGATCTTAATAGACCGGTGTATCATGACAGGTACAGTGGTCACGTAATATGCAACGACGATAAAAATAGTGAACTGACTGTACAAATTGCAAAACAAAATGAGGACTATATGGCGCTACATATAGCAGAGGGCTACAGTATATAGTGAATGACGGGATAGGGAATGGCCATTTGGACACAGCCATAGTCTCTCCAGTGCGTCCTGGGTTTTCCCCTGGGGCCGATTTGCAGCGGGATGTTACTGTAACATCTCATCAGGTGCCCTGGAGGCATCCTAATCAGATGGCACCTCATCTGACTCTCAATGTGGAGGACCAGCAGGTAGACTCTGAGCCCCTTCCAGATGACTGAGCTTCTCACTCTCTATCTACAGCACCTATGTCAAAGTGCCGGCCCGCGGGCCAAATCCGGCCCGCGAGAATGTTTTCAGTGGCCCCTGGGATGATATTGATTTATTATTAGAACCGGCCCGCGGACCGCAGCAAGCCGAGAGCCTGCAGATCTTTTACACGCACCAATACTACATTTCCCACAATGCAACGGTGACGCGCCAAGCAGTCGGCCGCTTTATTTAAATATTTATTAGTCTAGCAGTCGTTCCCATAACAGTGACATTAGCTTTCAGATACCCATCAAAAACGGCAAAACGGAAGGTGGACACTGATAACCGGGGGTTTCAAACAAGGTGGGAGTCGAAGTACATGTTCATGGACGTAGCTGGAAAACTTGTGTGTCTTCTGTGCGGAGAAAGTATGGCGTTATTGAAAGAGTGTAATCTGAGACGACATCATGAAACAAAACACGCGAACAAAAACAAGAACATGGACGTGGAAGGGGAAGGGGGATTTAATTAAAAACGGTATACTTAAAGTTTGTGACGACGTTTGCCCCGAAAAAAAGCAACTCTTTTTAAACATGAGCATTAGCAGAAACACAATTGCAGTGTTTCTGCAAAGATACGGCAGTGCGTGCTGCGCAGTTTGCCCGTTTCCTCCCCGACACAGTGGCCCCGCTGCGCATCCAGGCTGCTCAAACGTTGTCGAAAGTTTGGCAGCACATACGTGTGTGAACAACTATTTTCTTTGATGAAGCTGAACAAAACATCACACAGAAGTCGATTTACTGCTGAACACCCTCACTCAATGTTGAGGATTTGCTCAGCTCAGAGCCTGACCCCAAATATTGATGAACTTGTAGAAAAGTTAAGACACCACCGAGTATAAGCCTCAGCCTCAAAGAAGTGAATATTACTTATAATATACTGTGCAATCACAAACGAAGAGTTTTTACTCAGTTCAAGTTTAAAAATTAAAGTGCAATATTTGCTTTCGCTGCTTGTTACTTCTTGAAGAAAGTGTTGTTTTTGGTTTATACATTTTTGCACTTTATTTTGTTGTTTTTCAATCCAATTATGTTTTAAAAATATTTTATTCGAGTAAATGATCGAAAATTACTGCACTATTATTTGTTTTTCTTTTAAGTAAATTTAGCCTACTTTTGCTGAAAGAGAAAATATGGACTAGTGATAGTGCCTTGAATAATACCGGCTTCTTTCATTCATGTTATGGGTATTTTTATACAAAGGAAATTTTTTTGTGCCTGTTGAAAATTAAAGTTTACTGACATAGCCATAAAAAATGTTGCTTTATTTATCTGACCATATTGGAATGTATTTGTTAGGTTTTCAGTCAATTAAATTTGGTTCAATAAACAATATGTGGTCATTTTTAAAATTTTCAATGAACATTCGATCAGTCCGGCCCTCGGCTTGCAGCAAAATTTTTTATCTGGCCCTCCGTCCATTTGACTTTGACACCCCTGATCTACAGGAAAGCCCTGAAACCCTGCGGAAGAAACTTATTTTGGCCGCTTTATCCAGAATCTTGTTCTTTCGGTCACGACCCATAGCTCATGACCATAGGTGAGGGTAAGAATGTATGTCAACTGATAAATTGAGAGCTTTATTTTTTGGTTCTGCTGCTTCTTCACCATGATGGACCAATACAAAAGCTGCATCACTGGCTGTCTATCACCAGTCCCATTCTTTGCTCAATCACGAACAACTTCTTCTTCTTCTCCTTTCGGCACATCCCTATTCAGGGGTCGCCACAGCGAGCCAGTAATTTCCATCCGCCCCTGTAAACCGTCCTACCAACTCGCATGGTCGTCTTGGCAAAAGTTTTATGCCGGATGCCATTCCTGACGCAACCCTCCCCATTTCTCCGGGCTTGGGACCGGCACTGGGGAACAGTGCACCCCCAGGGGAGGGCACTGCCCCCCAGCGGCTGGGTTGCTCAATCATGAACAACAATATACATATATACAAAAAAAATCTCTCTCTCTCTGTCTCTCTCTCTCTCTCTATTAGAGCTGTCAAACGATTAAAATATTTAATCTAATTAAAAACGCAACTGTCATAATTAACTCAAATTAACTAAAAATTAATCATGATTACTCACGCATTTTTTATAATTTCTGAATTTGCTTTTATATTTTTTGTCTAATTTTTCCCCATTTTCATGCTCTCAACATGGAATCATGAATCAGTTTTCTATGTGCAAAATGCAAATACTTACTGAAATAACAATTTCGATTTTCAATTTTACATGAACATTTTTCACTTGGAGCAGTTATTCAAACATAATCTCTCACACAATATTACTGTCCATCAACAACAGTGAAAAAAATATTTTGTCCCACAACAGCTGCTTTAACAGCTCTTTTTATGGAATCAAAACAGAGCAATATAACATTATAAAGTGCCCATCTAAG